TGTCATATAAAGTGCAGTGGCTCTAGTTTAGCTTCGTAATGGAGGGAAATCTGTCTGAGGGAGAGGTACGGTGACAGAGAGTTTAGAGACCAGTATGTCAGACTGATACACATTTACTGTGACATAAGATAGCACTACACATCATTCTGTTTAAGAAATGGAGGTGAACTGAGACCTCCATTTGTCTGTAAAGGCTATTTGTGGCTCTTCGCTTACTCAATCAATTATTCGTGGAGTGGGGTTCCTCAATGTATTTGCCATCCAGGGTTGAGTTTCACCAAAAATATCATCTTTACCACTAAGATCACACCATTGGTATGCACTACATGGATGAACAGTGATCTTAATGCTAAAGATTATCTTTGTTTTTGGGAAACTCACCCGATAACTATTCTTTTCACTTAATCATATCACACAAACCAACACACTCCCATTTGCTCTGTTTAAATCTCTCCACTACTGTTTCTCTCATGGAGACTAAAGCCAATGGTTCTTCATTTCATCACTTAATTTCATTGAAATGAGATCCATTTTAAATCACCAATCAAAATGGGACTTCAGTGATGAGCTCCTCTCAAAACAGATGGCATACCTCCCCCTAGTGGCAATAAGATGTAACAAATTAACCCTCAACCTTCCACCCAAGAGGTTACTAGTTACATTAGTATTCATTCACATTTACATTTTACATTTGACATTTTAGTCATTTAGCAGACGCTCTTATCCAGAGCGACTTACAGTTAGTTCACTTTGTCCATCCACTACAAATACTGGTTCCACTGGTTTCATCAACTTGTGTCAGCGCTATTAACCTCTGAGAAAATTATACTTGTATGGCGGTTGTTTCCATTTAATATTAATGAAAATGCATGCATTAATTACATACATAAAAGCTTGTTGACTTTGCTACAGACCCTCATTAATCCCTCATGATGAGCAGGGTTCTCCTTTGCGCCATAAGGAAATTATTAAACAGCCCAGGATAGATAAACTTACTGAAGGACATTGCATGTTTGTTTTTCTATATATCTTCTGATTCTCAGAAGTGCTTGCATTGCTTGCTCTGGATTCAGTGAAAGTTAAATAAATAGTATGAGACATGACTAGTAACTTCACCCATCACTAACCAAGTGGTTATATTTAGCATGTTCACTATACCAAGAGATAGCGTGGATCTAAACACTATTTACTCAAAAGTGGAGAGTAGTTTATAAGCAGCTACTTTGTTTCTTCACCACTTGTCTCTCTGACAGCATTTTTCCAACTAGTTTTGATATTCCTCTCTGGACACTTTTCCCCAACTTTTTCAATAGAAGGGACTTACCTGAAACTATAACAAGCAGATTATGCAGTTACTGCCTCAGTTTAAAAACTCATCCTCATGGAATTCCATTATTTAATAGAGAGGCACTAACTGAGTGACAAATAGATCAAGTCAAATAGTTGTTTGATGTGTGTGGGTAAAGCCTGCAAAACAAGGATCGCATAATGGCCAACGCACACAGCCAAGACAACACAGGAGTGGCTTTGGGACAAGTCTCTGAATGTCCTTGAGTGACCCAGCCAGAGCCTGGACTTGAACCTGATCGAACATCACTGGAGAGACCTGAAAATAGCTGTGCAGCGACGCTCCCCATCCAACCTGACAGAGCTTGAGAGGATCTTCAGAGAAGAATGGGAGAAACTCCCCAAATACAGGTGTGCCAAACTTGTAGCGTTATACCCAAGAAGAATTTAGGCTGTAATCGCTGCCAAAGGTGCGTCAACAAAGTACTGAGTAAAGGGTCTGAATACTTAAGTAAATGGGATATTTCCGGTTTTTGTTTTTATACATTAGCAAAAATTTCAAGAAAAACGTTTTTGCTTTGACATTATGAGGTATTGTGTGTAGATTGATGAGGAAAAAACTATTTAATCAATTTTAGAATAAGGCTGTAACGTAACAAAATGTGGAAAAAGTCAAGAGGTCTGAATACTTTTCGAATGCGCTGTATATACACACTGAACAAAAATATAAACACAACATGCAACAATTTCAAAGATTTTACTGAGTTACAGTTCATATAAGGAAATCAGTCAATTGAAATAACTAAATTAGGCCCTTATCTATTGATTTCACATGACTGGGCAGAGGTGGTCCCCTGTAGCTCAGTTGGTAGAGCATGGCGCTTGCAACGCCAGGGTTGTGGGTTCGTTTCCCACGGGGGGCCAGTATGAAAATGTATGCACTCACTAACTGTAAGTCGCTCTGGATAAGAGCGTCTGCTAAAATGACTAAAAATGTTTTTTAAAATGTGGGCCTGGGAGGGCATATGCCTACCCACTTGGGAGCCAGGACCACCCACTGGAGAGCCAGCCCAGCCAATCAGAATGAGTTTTTCCCCACAAAAGGGCTTTATTATGGACAGAAATAGTCCTTAGCACCTCTCCCTCAGACGATCCTGCAGGTAAAGTAGCTTGATGTGGAGGTCCTGGGCTGGCGTGATTACATGTGGTCTGTGGTTGTGAGGCCGGTTGGACATACTGGCAAATTCTCTAAAACAACATTGGAGGCGGCTTATGGTAGAGAAATGAACACTAAATTATCTGGCAACAGCTCTGGTGGACATTCCTGCAGTCAGCATGCCAATTGCGTGCTCCCTCAAAACTTGAGACATCTGTGGCATTGTGTTGTGTGACAAAACTGCACATTTTAGAGTGGCCTTTTATTGTCCCCAGCACAAGGTGCACTGGTGTAATGATCATGCTGTTTAATCAGCTCCTTGATATGCCACACCTGTAAGGTTGATGGATTATCTTGGCAAAGGAGAAATGCTCACTAGAAGGGATGCAAACAAATTTGTGCACAAAACCTTTTTGTGCGTATGGAACATTTCTGGGATTTTTTTTTTCAGCACATGAAAACAACACTTTACATGTTGCGTTTATATTTTTGTTCAGAATACACACATATATTTAAGCAATAATGCCAGAGGTGTGCTATTATAAACTGGCTACCAACATAATTAGAGCAGTAAAAAAAAATAACGGTCTGATATACCATGGCTGTCAGCCAATCAGCATTCAGGGCTCGAACCACCCAGTTTATATGGCTATTGTAGCTGGAAACGGCTGATCTTTAATGGAATATCTACATAGGCGCAGAGGCCCATTATCAGCAACCATCAGTCCTGTGTTCCAATGGCACGTTGTATTTGCTAATCCAAGTTTATCATTTTAAAAGGCTAATTGATCATTAGAAAACCCGTTTGCAATTATGTTAGCACAGCTCAAAACTGTTGTGCTGATTAAAGAAGCAATAAAACTGGCCTTCTTGAGACTAGTTGAGTATCTGGAGCATCAGCAATTGTGGGCCAGAATGGCCAGAAACAAATCACTTTCTTCTGAAACTCGTCAGTTTATTCTTGTTCTGAGAAATGAAGGCTATTCCATGCGAGAAATTGCCAAGAAACTGAAGATCTCATACAACGCTGTGTACTACTCCTTTTTTGGCTCAGAACATTTGTGGGCAGAACTGAAAAAGCGTGTGCGAGCAAGGAGGCCTACAAACCTGACTCAGTTACATCAGCTCTGTCATGAGGAATGGGCCAAAATTCACCCAACTTATTGTGGGAAGCTTGTGGAAGGCTACCTGAAACATTTGACCCAAGTTAAATAATTTAAAAGGAAATGCTACCAAATACTAATTGAGTGTATGTAAACTACTGACCCAATGGGAATTTGATGATAGAAATAAAAGCTGAAATAAATCATTCTCTCTACTATTATTCTGAGTGGTGATCCTAACTGACCTAAAACAGGGACTTTTTTACTAGGATTAAATGTCAGGAATTGTGAAAAAGTTAGTTTAAATGTATTTGGCTATGTTGTATGTATGTAAACTTCCGACTTCAACTGTATACACATACATGCTTTATGGGGAAATTGAGAATAGTTCAAGTTAGAGACCATTTTCAAGTTAAAGTAATTTTTTTATTTCAAACAACCGGATGAGGATGCTTCAACAGAGCTATTATTGTTACTCATAACCATTATTGCTTTTTGCTGTTATTACTACTGATATCACAACCAGCTACGTAGTCATTAGTGGCATATTATGATTGTTATGTCAAATGAAACCAGTGACACTCAACACATTGGCACACAACCATCAAAATAATAACAAAAACATATAAAAAACAATTCAAGTGTCCAAATCGCTAACCACTAGGGGTATCCCCGGAAATAAAGAGCCAAAAAAATATATAATACTCTTATTATCGTCATTAATACACCATAATCTCCAAAACAATAAATGGAAGAAAAAAAAGGAAGTAAGTTGAAATTCAGTTCATGTTAGGGGGCAGTGAAAACCAAGAAGAAAGAAGCGCTTGTAGTTTTCATTGGAGCGGTGATGGCAAATAGTGGGTGAAGAAGAAGAGTTCATCTTGGAAGAAGCAGGATTTTAAAAACTAAGGCGGACAATTTGAAAGAGAAAAAGCAGTTGTGGGTTGAAGGGAGTAAAGGACCGGTGTGTGTGTGTGCGTCTAGATTGCGCAGTTTAAGCTAATTTTTCCAGTCAGTTTTTAGTATCATCAAACAAACACAAAATAAATTCCACACCGTCTCTTCCTCTTCTTGTCTAACTTATTTTGTTTGTACTGTAACTTTAAGGCAATAGAGGTTTCAAAACCTTGTCTCTTCCCTATATTGCTCTGTCGTTCTCCTTTTAAGAAGGACTATACTGGTTAGGAAGAGAATTGATCAGCTTGTTACAAGAAACATAGATATACATTCTATTATATATTAGGATGTATTTCTATGTCTCTGTTTGTTACCCATCCACCCAACATCGCCCCTCCCCACCTCTATTGCTGAAGGCACTATTAAACGAATGTCTCACTTGTCCTCTTGCTCCCTCCCCCTACACCCCTTCCAGCTTTCTGTCTGTTCCCCATGTCCGCCTGTCTCTTTTTCCTGTTATGTCTTTCCCCTGGTTCTTTGGCCCCATTTAAAATGTTTTATAAGAGTGCGCAGCGTTTCTTGGGCTTGGTCTCTGGCGGCTCCAGCGCAGCTAGGATGGCCTCGTCAAACACGTTCTTCAGACCTCGCTGAGAGAGAGAGAGAGAGAGAGAGAGAGAGGTCAATTTACTAATTGATCCACTGTCCTAATTTCAAAATGTCCACAGTTGCAATTTGAAATGCTGTCGACAGTAGCCATCATCCGCTAGTAGTTCCTAGTGAGTAAATATGACATCTATCAAAACAAAGGAGGACAGAGGTCGATAGAGTGAGAGGAAGGTACTTTTCAGAAACCATTCAAGTCACTTACACCCACCATTTCCTGTTTACCTGAATGAGGGCCAGAGACTTAGTAGATAGAGATTGTATCTCTCGCCCACATGTACACACGTACACACACACGCACCCACACACACCTGGGTGAGGGCGGAGCACTCCACGTATTTGACTGCCCGGAGGTCCCGGGCCAGCTTGTCTCCACTCTCAGGGGCCAGGGGCCGCTGCTTGTTCTTAGCCAGCTTCTCCACCGTGTTGCTGTCGTCCCTCAGGTCCATCTGGGTGCCCACCAGCAGGAAGGGTGTACGCGGACAGTGGTGGGAGATCTCTGGGACCCACTGTGGGAGAGGAGGGGGGCATATTAGGATCCCACCCGGGTTCTGATCCTGCTGTATATTATGGCCATTGAGTATGGGAGTGTTTCATGTTATATATAATTTTATAAACTGGATTGTTCGAGCCCTGAATGCTGATTGGCTGAAAGCCGTGGTATTACAGACAGTCTACCACGGGTGTGACAAAATATATACTCTTCTAATTACATTGGTAACCAGTTTATTACAGCAATAGGGCACCTCTGGGTTTGTGATATATGGCCAATATACCACGGCTAAGGGCTGTGTCCAGGCACTCTGCGTTGCGTCGTGCATAAGAACAGCCCTTAGCCGTGGTATATTGGCCATATACCACACCCCCTCAGGCCTTATTGCTTAATTATGCAGGTGTGAGTAATGGCGAGAGAGAAAAGAGAGGGGAGAGAAAGAATACTAACCCCAACACACACGGAAGAGGAGCACAATGCTATGTTTACAGAGAAACACAGGTGTAAAGACATGGGCTAGAAAAAAGTCACAGGTGTGTGTGTTTGTATCTGGGGGTGTTGGGAAAGGCCGAAAACGAATGTCCGTTCTAACCAATGGACAATAAAGTTATATTCCACACACACACACACCTTCTCACGGACGTTCTCAAAGGAGGAGGGCGATATGACAGAGAAACACACAAGGAAGACATCTGTCTGGGGGTAACTGAGCGGTCGCAGTCGGTCATAGTCCTCCTGACCTGGGGAGGGTGACAGAGTGAGACAGCAACATTTTTAGGATTTTACATCAAGGATCCCTTTCATATGCAAGAAAAAGCCTAAATAAGCAACTACACAATGGCCTCTACATTATCTAGCTAATATTTGAGCTCAGTGGACTAACACATCAGTAGACTAACCCACAAACACAAAAACTAGTTTAGACACCATGGTACATGCTATCACTACATAGGCTAGTGCACAAGGTGAGTTACCCATGCAATGTTAAACGATTAGATGCCTGGCGAGAAACACGATCCATAATGCCCACGTAAGCACCATGTGAAAATAATACAGGCAGACCATGGTGAGTGAGAAGAAGGTATTACAAGTCGAGGCTCAAGACACTGTAGTTAGGAAGCGCTCATGTAGCAGAGAGCGGCCATTTTGTTTTACCTGCTGTATCGAACAGCCCCAGAGTGTAGGGCTCCCCTCCGATCATCACTGTCACCGCATAGTTATCAAACACCTGAGGAAGAGAGAGAGAAAAATGATAAATCATTAGGGATTTCAACGTAACATGTTGAGTTTTGATCGAGTTTTGCCAGTTAAAAAAACACACACTACAGGTCAAAAGTTTTAGAACACCTACTCATTCAAGGGTTTTTCTTTAATTTTTACATTGTAGAATAATAGTGAAGACATCAAAACTATGAAATAACACATATGGAATCATGTAGTAACCAAAAGAGTTAAACAAATCAAAATATATTATACATTTGAGATTCTTCAAATAGCCACCCTTTGCCTTGATGACAGCTTTGCACACTCTTGGTTTTCTCTCAACCAGCATCATGAGGTAGTCACCTGGAATGCATTTCAATTAACAGATGTGCCTTCTTAAAAGTTAATTTGTGGAATGTCTTTCCTTCTTAATGCGTTTGAGCCAATCAGTTGTGTTGTGACAAGGTAGTGGGGGTATACAGAAGATAGCCCTATTTGGTAAAAGACCAAGTCCATATTATGGCAAGAACAGCTCAAATAAGCAAAGAGAAATGATAGTCCATCATTACATTAAGACATGAAAGTCAGTCAATACGGAACATTTCAAGAACTTTGAAAGTTTCTTCTAGTGCAGTCGCAAAAACCATCAAGTTTTTTTTTTGGGCTTTCACGAGGACCACCACAGGAATGGAAGACCCAGAGTTACCTCTGCTGCAGAGGATAAGTTCATTAGAGTTAACAGCCTAAGAAATTGCAGCCCAAATAAATGCTTCCCAGAGTTCAAGTAACAGACACATCTCAACATCAACTGTTCAGAGGGGACTGTGTGAATCAGGCCTTCATGGAAGAAGAGACTTGCTTGGGCCAAGAAACAAGAGCAATGGACATTAGACCGGTGGGAAATGTGTCCTTCGGTCTAGAGTCCACATTGGAGATTTTTGGTTCCTACCACCGTGTCTTTGTGAGACGCGGTGTGGGTGAACGGATGATCTCCGCATGTGTATTTCCCACTGTAAAGGATGGAGGAGGAGGTGTTATGGTGTGGGGGTGCTTTGCTGGTGACACTGTCTGTGATTTATTTAGAATTCAAGGCACACTTAACCAGCATGGCTACCACAGCATTCAGCAGCGATACGCCATCCCATCTGGTTTGGGCTTAGTGGGCCTATCATTTGTTTTTCAACAGGACAATGACCCAACACACCTCCAGGCTGTGTAAGGCTATTTTACCAAGACGGAGAGTGATGGAGTACTGCATCAGATGACCTGGCCTCCACAATCCCCCAACCTCAACCCAATTGAGATGGTTTGGGATGAGTTGGACCGCAGAGTGAAGGAAAAGCAGCCAACAAGTGCTCAGCAATTGTGTGAATTCCTTCAAGACTGTTGGAAAAGCATTCCAGGTGAAGCTGGTTGAGAGAATGCCAAGAGTGTGCAAAGCTGTCATCAAGGCAAAGTGTGGTTATTTGAAGAATCTTGATTTGTTTAACACTTTTTTGGTTACTACATGATTCCATGTGTGTTATTTCATAGTTTTGATATCTTCACTATTATTCTACAATGTAGAAAATAGTAAAAATAAAGAAAACCCTTGAATGAGTAGGTGTTCTAAAACTTTTGACCGGTAGTGTATATACGCAGTATACATTTTAAAAACATGACAGGGATATCACAAAAAAGTCTGCCTTATTTCCATTGTAGTCCAGGAATAAAAAAAGTATGTGATGGAGATTGAAAAGTCTCGCTAGTTGTTGGTTCCGGATGATGGAAAGGGAGTTGAGGCAGTGGGCTGGAAAGGCAGTATAGCTTGAGTGAAGGGGGCATTGTTGGTACATCCAGGGAGAAACAAATGCAGTCTGACAAACAGGCCCTAAGCTCTTTGTCAGGGCACCCCACTGGTTTCGCTGACCTTCAGTTCCTCCACAGAAGCCGCTTCTCCGCAGGTACTGGTACTCCATTGCCGAAAATGTGGCACCCACCTGGGTAATGCCATGGCTGCTGAAAAAGCGCTCAAAAGCCACCACACAGACAGTAGTTAGGAACCAGTCCTTTAGCCTTCTCTGCCATCCCTGGACATCGCATGCAGTTGTTGTTGTCTTTCCAAGCAGATGAAAAAAAAACAACAGCGCTGCATTATTTACATCCAAATAGCCAGCTAACTAGGTAGCTCACTAGCTATCAAGCCAAACAAGTAGGCATTTCATCTCAGATCTGCAACTCTGTGAGTCAAGACAACCAGATGTAGGTGAACAAAACCCAGAGCAATCAAAACCCCCCAAATATTAGTTTTTTTATGCAACAAAACATATATTTTTTAAATATCAAAACATGTACAATATTTACAGAGGTCTCTGCCTAGGCTATTTCACGGTGCCATGGCAACCACAGAACTGTCTGATTGACATTGAGGCAGTGCTTAAAGGCCAAAAGCCAAAAGTTGCTCAATACTTTATTTTTGATGTTCCTATCCGGTGTCAGTATGACTGTGTTAAGTGTCCTCTTTCACTATTAGATATCAGATGAGTGTGTGGCAGGTTTTGCCTCATTCCAAACCTCTGGAAAGTCTTGTACTATACAGCAGAACAGGGTTACCCAACTGGCGGTCCACGGGGGATTTTATTTGCCCCCCCCCCCCAAGTTTTCTGAGCAAAAACATGAATAATTATCTATATGTTTTTTACTTGTTGGACATATAATACTAAAAACACCAGCACATCAGCTCCAAGTGATTTTAATCTGGGAAATCTGTTCCAAAGTATTCCCACACATAATAGACAGATATATTATATATACACAAATGTAAGCAAGGTTAGAAATTATTATGTTTTATTCAAATATTATATCTGACCGGGCTTCTTGCGGTCAATTTGCAGTCTACTAATTATTTGTAATTATGTTCTGGCCTCCTGACCAGCCGCTCAATAAAAAAATAATTTGGGCCGTAGCTGAATATTAGTTGGTGATCCTTGCAGTAGAATGTCTTGTACTATACAATAGAGAGTATTTTACCATTTCTTTCCAGTGCCAAGTAACACAACTGAGATGGTAGCCTATGATTAAAAAAGTAAGCCATTTCATCTAACATATCCAGGAAATGCATGATTGATATTTTGATGTGCAATTTGTCAAAATAGGATCCAGAATTAAGAGATGTTTTTTTGGCTCTTCAGATCATTTTCCAACATCTTTGTGCATATACAGTGAGGGAAAAAAGTATTTGATCCCCTGCTGATTTTCTAAGTTTGCCCACTGACAAAGAAATGATCAGTCTATAATTTTAATGGTAGGTTTATTTGAACAGTGAGAGACAGAATAACAACAACAAAAATACAGAAAAACACATGTCAAAAATTTTATAAATTGATTAGCATTTTAATGAGGGAAATAAGTATTTGACCCCTCTGCAAAACATGACTTAGTACTTGGTGGCAAAACCCTTGTTGGCAATCACAGAGGTCAGACATTTCTTGTAGTTGGCCACCAGGTTTGCACACATCTCAGGAGGGATTTTGTCCCACTCCTCTTTGCAGATCTTCTCCAAGTCATTAAGGTTTTGAGGCTGACGTTTGGCAACTCGAACCTTCAGCTCCCTCCACAGATTTTCTATGGGATTAAGGTCTGGAGACTGGCTAGGCCACTCCAGGACCTTAATGTGCTTCTTCTTGAGCCATTCCTTTGTTGCCTTGGTCGTGTGTTTTGGGCCATTGTCATGCTGGAATACCCATCCATGACCCATTTTCAATGCCCTGGCTGAGGGAAGGAGGTTCTCACACAAGATTTGACGGTACATGGCCCTGTCCATCGTCCCTTTGATGCGGTGAAGTTGTCCTGTCCCCTTAGCAGAAAAACACCCCCAAAGCATTATGTTTCCACCTCCATGTTTGACGGTGGGGATGGTGTTCTTGGGGTCATAGGCAGCATTCTTCCTCCTCCAAACACGGCGAGTTGAGGTGATGCCAAAGAGCTCCATTTTGGTCTCATCTGACCACCACACTTTCCTTTCACCCAGTTCTCCTCTGAATCATTCAGATGTTCATTGGCAAACTTCAGAAGGGCATGTATTTGTGCTTTCTTGAGCAGGGGGAACTTCCGGGTGCTGCAGGATTTCAGTCCTTCACGGCGTAGTGTGTTACCAATTGTTTTCTTGGTGACTATGGTCCCAGCTGCCTTGAGATCATTGACAAGATCCTCCCGTGTAGTTCTGGGCTGATTCCTCACCGTTCTCATGATCATTGCAACTCCACAAGGTGAGATCTTGCATGGAGCCCCAGGCCGAGGGAGATTGACAGTTATTTTATGTTTCTTCCATTTGCTAATAATCGCACCAACTGTTGTCACCTTCTCAGCAAGCTGCTTGGCGATGGTCTTGTGTAGGTCTACAATCTTGTCCCTGACATCCTTGGAGAGCTCTTTGGTCTTGGCCATGGTGGAGAGTTTGGAATCTGATTGATTGATTGCTTCTATGGACAGGTGTCTTTTATACAGGTAACAAACTGAGATTAGGAGCACTCCCTTTAATAGTGTGCTCCTAATCTCAGCTCGTTACCTGTATAAAAGACACCTGAGAGCCAGAAATCTTTTTGATTGAGAGGGGGTCAAATACTTATTTCCCTCATTAAAATGCAAATCAATTTATAACATTGTTGACATGCGTTTTTCTGGATTTTTTTGTTGTTATTCTATCTCTCACTGTTCAAATAAACCTACCATTAAAATTATACTGATAATTTCTTTGTCAGTGGGCAAACGTACAAAATCAGCAGGGGATCAAATACTTTTTTCCCCTCACTGTATAAGCTATATTATTCACCACCTGAGGAAGTGGAAACTCAAAACACTTAGCTAGATTGCTAACTCTAAATATGATATTGCTGCTAGATAGCCATGTAGGCTAATTGATTAATCTAACAGTAAATCTAGGCTAATGTCCTACAAAAACTTTCCAGCGCTAGGCCTAGACTACTTGATGTAGTCCTATTCACTGCAAATGGAACGCTCCGCAGGCGAATCAACTAACTATAGCCTGCTCCGATTGTAAAGTGGTGCCATGAACTCAATATTAAAAGGTGAGAAATATATGACACTCACAAAGCTGTGACTCTCCTATGTACACTGAACAAAAACATAAAACACAACAATTTCAAAGATTTTACTGAGTTACAGTTCATGCAGTTCAGAAAATCAGTCAGTATCTGGTGTGACCACCATCATGCAGCGCCACATCTCCTTTGCAGAGTTGATCAGGATGTTGATTGTGGCCTGTGGAATGTTGTCCCACTCCTTAATGGCTGTGCGAAGTTGCTGGATATGGGTGGGAACTGGAACACGCTGTCGTACACGTTGATCCAGAGCCTCCCAAACATGCTCAATGGGTGACATGTCTGGTGAGTATGCAGGCCATGGAAGAACTGGGACATTTTCAGCTTCCAGGAATTGTGTACAGATCCTTGTGACATGGGAGTGTGCATTATCATGCTGATGGAGGCAGATGAACGGCACGACAATGGGCCTCAGGATCTCGTCACGGTATCTCTGTGCATTCAAATTGCCATCGATAAAATGCAATTGTGTTCGTTGTCCATAGCTTATGCCTGCCCATACCATAACCCCACCATGAGGCACTCTGTTCACAATGTTGACATCAGCAAACCGCTCGCCCACACGACACCATATATGCTGTCTGCCATCTGCCCGGTACAGTTGAGACTGGGATTCATCCATGAAGAGCACAGTTCTCCAGCTTCCCAGTGGCCAACGAAGGTGAGCATTTGCCCACTGAAGTCGGTTACAACGCCGAACTGCAGTCAGGTCAAGACGCTGGTGAGGACGATGAGCACACAGATGAGCTTCCCTGAGACGGTTTCTGACAGTTTGTGCAGAAATTCTTCGGTTGTGCAAACCCAAAGTTTCATCAGCTGTCCGGGTTGCTGGTCTCAGACCGTACCGCAGGTGAAGAAGCCGGATGTGGAGGTCCTGGGCTGGCGTCGTTACACGTGGTCTGCGGTTGTGAGGTCGGTTGGACGTACTGTCAAATTCTCTAAAATGACGTTGGAGGTGGCTTATGGTAGAGAAATGAACATTCAATTCTCTGGCAATAGCTCTGGTGGACATTCCTGCAGTCAGCATGCCAATTGCACACTCCTTCAAAACTTGAGACATCTGTGGAATTGTGTTGTGTTGTATAAATTATTAACTTTTTTTGTGAACAATTTCTTTATTGAATCAATAGCAAGGAAATAAGGATCACAATACAACCAACATTTTCAAAACTGGATGGATTCTTTTAGATTATTTATTTCCACAGAGTGCGAGTTCACAGTAGTCCTACATAATTACATTTATTAGGATCCCCATTAGCCGACTCCAATGGCGACAGCTAGTATTACTTGGGTCCGACACATAATGAAAAATACATTACAGACAAAAGACTTTACATACATTTAAAAACATTAACATGTATATTGTGTGTGTGCATCTATCAGTTACACATACATGTCAGTACATACACACAAATAAGTAGGTCACATGGGGGAGAGGCGTTGTACCGTGAGGTGTTGCTTTATTTGTTTTTTTTAAACCAGGTTTTCTGTTCACTTACAATAATGTACGTTTCCTTGAAATTTGTTCTGGACCTGGGGACTGTGAAAAGACCCCTGGTGGCATGTCTGGTGGGTAAGTGTGTGTGTCAGCGCGGTGTATAAGTTGACTACGCAAACTATTAGGAATTTCCAACACATTCATGTTTCTTATAAAAACAAGAAGTGACGCAGTCAGTCTCTCCTCAACTCTTAACCAAGAGAGACTGGCATGCATGCTATTAATATTAGCCCTCTGATTACAATGCAGAGCAAGACATGCCACTCTGTTCTGGTCCAGCTGCAGCTTAACTAGGTATGTATTTGTAGCACTTGACTATATGACTGGACAATAATCAAGATACGATAAAACTAGAGCCTGCAGGACTTGCTTTGTAGAGTGTGGTGAAAAAAAGCAGAGCATCTCTTTAATACAGACAGACCTCTTCCTATCTTTGTAACCATTTAATCTATATGGTACAGGTATGGATACAGGAATATGGTCATGCTGTGGCTAGGTTCAGTTTCATAACCTAGGCCAATTTCCCATTATATACACAACACATGAAAACCCCTCACTTTGGTTCCCTTGACAGAACAGTCTATGACACTTAGAGTGTCAGGTGGTCAAAGGGAACCATGTTGTCAACTAAGTAAGCCCTGATTTATACCATATGTACGCATGGAAGAACTACAAGTAGCTACGCAAAATGGTACGCATTCTTGTGTTGCGTACGTAGGGTACCAATGGGCTCCCGAGTGGCGCAGCGGTCTAAGGCACTGCATCTCAGTGCTTGAGGCGTCACTACAGACCCCCTGGTTCGATTCCAGGCTGTATCACAACCGGCCGTGATTGGGAGTCCCATAGGGCGGCGCACAATTGGCCCAGCATCGTCCGGGTTTGGCCGGGGTAGGCAGTCATTGTAAATAAGAATTTGTTCTTAACTGACTTGCCTAGTTAAATAAATAAAATAAATTCAGAATGTTTCACTGCGTTCCTCTTAAGGTGCCTCCCTGTAGAGGCAATGAAGCCACCTACTGTTCAGTAAGAATGAGAAACTGTCTGACTCATTTATATGTGCTGATGAAACAACTATGCTTTGTCCCAAATGCAGCTGAATGGCATTGCCATTTCTCATGTTGTCTCCGTCACACAATACTGCGTAGACAGTGACTACCGTAGCGCAGGTTCATGGGCAGTATCATTTTCAAGCTTATTTTTAGGTCAGCAAACTTTGAAGGAAATTTGTAAAAAACACATTCTCTCTTTAGCCCAACCAGTGTTTCTCCCACCATTACTTAGGTGGGGTGCAAAAAGTGACTGAAAATGGTGTAGGCAGTTCTTGACATTGCTTTGGAAAATGTGGACTAGTGTGAAACACTAAATCACTGCTGGCATTCTATATAAAAAGAATGGCTGTCTTATGGCTGTCACCTGGGAATGAGCAACAGTGTTAACTACTATTACTTTAGTGTGGCGCATGAGGGACATTCCTTTAATTTGGGTGGGAGATTCCTGACATTCCTGCCTTGTGTAGTCACTAAACCACCAATTTACCTTTTTCCCTGGCTGTCCACTCCCTGTTTCATCTCAGGCCTCATCCTAGTACACTTGAATTTGAGCCTCACTGGGCAACAAGGAGAGGACCATTGAGATGCACCCACAAGTACATTTACATTTTAGTCATTTAGCAGACGCTCTTATCCAGAGCAACTTACAGTTAGTGAGTGCATACAATGTATATATATATATCTTTATTTTTTTATACTGTCCCACCTGAACAAATATGCATAAATACATTTTTCAATACAGAGACCTGTTCTGAACGGACCCGAGGACGACAGGTTCTGTATAGACGTGGTTGGATCAATGAGGGAAGCAGCAGAAAAGTCAATTTCTAAGCTATTTTATTAACCAGAGCTGATACAGCATGAGGGAGAGCAGGCGGAGGAGGGGCCTTGCGGTGTGTATACAGTGAGCAAGTGAAACGGGAGCAAGGTAGAGGCAGCAACCAACCGAGCCGACTGGCGCTAGTAGACTAACTTCTAGCTTGTCATAGCTAGGTTATTTATCATCCTATATGATTACGTAGTACCTCTCTTGACTGCATCAAACCGAGAGAAGGTAGTTGGTCCTCTGTAGCTCAATTGGTAGAGCATGGGGCTTGTAACGCCAGGGTAGTGGGTTCGATCCCCAGGACCACCCATACGTAAAAATGAATGCACACATGACTAAGTCGCTTTGGATAAAAGCGTCTGCTAAATGGCTTATTATTATTATTAGTTGGCTAAAATAGCTAGCCTGCGAGCTAGCCTGCGAGCTAGTCTAATTGAGTCCGCATGCGTTTTCTTCCTGTCCTACAGTTAGTTACAAATAACACCTCCATTCAAATGATTAAATAGCTGCCTACCTGTTAGCTCTTGTTCGTTATAGCATATACTTCTCATTTAAACTAATTCCATCTTCCATTGATTAGATAATCTCCTAACTTGCTTTGCCACACACGGAGGCTCTATGACAGGGGTGTCAAACTCATTTTAGCTCAGGGGCCACATGGAGGAAAATCTATTCCCAAGTGGGCCGGACCGGAAAAATCATGGTATATATATATAACTTAAAAACAACAACTTCAGATTGTTTTCTTTGTTTTAATACGATCAACATACAACATAAAGCTGGAGCCTGAGGACAGTGTGTCCAAAATAGTACAAGCACAACATCACTATTAATCATAAAACACGTCAAGTTTATTTGAACATTCTAAAGAAAAAGAACACACAAACACACAATGCCTCAGTGATTAACAGAACTGTTTCACAGATCACAGAACTATATCAGGGTGTCATTTCTCAGGCAGAAATGTAGATAAAAATAATGAAATCCTGTTCCCCAAACAAGTGCAAGAACCACAGAGTCAAGAATAGGTTAAATATACAAATAAAATAAAATCAATTAAAAACAATAGCACATCAACATAAAAACATATAAACATAAAGCTGGAGCCTGAGGACAGTGTCCAAAAGCACAACATCACTATTAATCATAAAACACCTCAAGTTATTTGAAAGTTCTGAGGACAAAGAACACACAAACACACAATGCCTCAGTGATTCACAGAAGTATATCACAGATCACAGAACTATATCAGGGTGTCATTTCTCAGGCAGAAATGTAGATAAAAATAATGAAATCCTGTTCCCCAAACAAGTGCAAGAACCACAGAGTCAAGAATAGGTTAAATATACAAATAAAATAAATTAAAAACAATAGCACATCAACATAAAAACATATAAACATAAATCTGAAAGCGTTGCTCAAACTCCCGTAACAGTCCCGTTATTTTATATTTGAACCGCTTCATGTCTGCCACATGTTGGGTCGCGCACACATTTTTCAGACAGGGGAAGTGAGCTGCATCACCACCGGCAAGTTGCGTCTCCCACAATGACAGCTTCAACTTGAAAGAACGTATGCTGTCATAATACTGCGTGACAACTTTGTTGCGCCCTTGCAGCTGTTTGTTCAAGTTATTCAGGTGCTCTGTAACATCCACCATAAATGCAAGGTCCTGCATCCATTCTGCGGAATGAAATTCTAACACTGGTTTGCCCTTTTCTTCCATGAACTGTTCAATTTCTTCTCGTAAATCAAAGAAACGCCTCAGCACAGCACCTCGGCTTAACCATTTTACCTCAGTGTGGTATGGCAGGCCATAGATGTGGTCTTTCTCTCTGAGAAGGCTGTCAAACTGACGGTGATTCAGGCTTCTGGATCGGATGAAATTAACAGTTTGGATGACCACCTTCATGACGTTATCCATCTTTAATGACTTGCAACACAAAGCCTCCTGGTGCAAAATACAGTGAAAAGTCAAAAAATCACGTCCTCCATTTGCAGATTGCACTTTCTCTCTGAACTTTGTCACAACGCCTGCTTTTTTCCCGATCATTGAGGGCGCACCATCTGTAGCCAGGCTGACAGCGCGGTACCAGTCCACTCCGACCCTGTCCAGCGCGCCGACGAGTGCGGTAAAAATATCAGCTGCTGTCGTTGTATCTGTCATCGGCACCAACTCCACGAACTCCTCGGTGACGGTCAATGTGTCATCAACTCCGCGGATGAAAATGGCCAGTTGTGCAACATCTGTAATGTCCGTGCTTTCATCAATTGCAACCGAAAACGCAATAAATGACTACTTTTTGCTTCAACTGGCTGTCCAAATCCACTGAAAGATCGGAAATCCTGTCTGCAACTGTGTTTCTTGTCAGGCTGATATTTGCAAAAGCCTGCCGCTTTTCAGGGCACACAATCTCCGCTGCCTTCATCATGCATGTTTTTACAAATTCACCCTCACTAAATGGTTTTGAAGCCACTGCGATTTCATTAGCAATGAGGTAGCTAGCTTTCACTGCAGCGTCACTAATGTCTCGGCTGTGAGTAAACACAGACTGCTGTTTCTTCAGATCCCCCAACAGTTCATTCACCTTCTCTCATCTCCGCTGTCCTTGAAAGTTGTCATATTTGTCGGCATGAAGACTCACATAGTGGCGACGAAGGTTATATTCTTTCAGCACTGCAACATGCTCTGAACACACCAAACATACAGCTTTCCCATTCAATTCCGTGAATAAATAGGATGACCATTTTTCTTGGAACACTCTGCGTCCACTTTTCTCTTTTTTGACAGAGACATATTGGGGCAATGAGGGTGCCAAAGCACATAATGTTAAAAGTAGAAGCCGTAATAAATATCGCGGGCAAAACAAAGTAGCTCATTGGCTGCACGTGCTTGACCTACTTGCTCTGCCCCGGTATAAACAGTTTGCTTGCTTAACACAATTGCTATTGCGCCATCCAGTGGACGCAATTGGAACAGCAGTTTATTTTATTGAAAAATTGCAGCGCATTTTTATACTTTACAAAAAAAAAAAATTGTTTTGTTTTTTCCGAAATCATCTCGCGGGCCGGATTAAACCCGTTTGCGGGCCTGATCCGGCCCGCGGGCCGGACGTTTGACACCCCTGCTCTATGACTTGGCGCTTTGATGACTTGTGATTGGCCGACAAAAACAACAAGCCACACGCGCCACTCTGCATAGGCTATTCTCCTTGAGCAGTGGAGAACATACTATTAACTTTTTATCCACAACTCTGTCGATCGCTGTTGTAATCGACTGTGAAGCCAACATTTTCCCAAACTGGAGATTTAAACGATGATGGAGTATCCACCAATTATGGTTTATCGATCCCACCACTCCCCATCAACAGAATTCCCGGCTGCGCCTCACAGAAGGATATCTTGAAATTAAGATTAGAATTTTGATTTCAACGTGCGCATAACTGTAGTTGTTTTAACAGAATACCCTACAATGTTTTCTCAGCTCAGATTTACTCTCAAGGCAACTTCATACAACGCAGCGTAGGCATTGCCTATAGTGTTTTCATTTTTTGAAATTTTTTTATGTATTCATTCGGGTACACAGTGCGTACCGAACAGAGGTCCCGGTTCAGTACGAATACGTGTACCCTTACAGCCCTACCCACAAGTCATGCTTGCTAGAGTTGGGGTGCATCTCAATGGTCTAAAATGTCTTCCTCTCCTTGTCACCTCTCCTTTAACTGCACTGAAAATGACTGAATACTAGTGCTGCACTGTATACCGAAACTTCTGTACTTTTTCGATACTAGAACATGAAAAACGGTTTGGTACTTGGTTTGTTACTTTCGGTACTTCTATCAAATGTGTCACACGTCGTCTACTGATTGAGAGAGGATCAAGTCTGTCTATCAGTGAAGCTGATGTCACCTTATAGCGCGAGCGTACTGTGCCTGCTCCACTTACTCATTGCTAGCTCTAGCCTGTCCTGAGGAATCACTGCACTCACTGGGAGTTATGGCTGTATCATGTTAGCTCCACACTCTTGCTGCACAGAAGCTAACACACTAATAATGCAACACGGCATATAGAAATGTTGCAACTGTTAATTACTGTTCGCAAAACAGTCCCATTAAAGGCTAGAACAATTTACAACGCAAGAAGATACCGGTAGCTTCCAGCTTTGTAGGCCAACTTTCCTTGCTAGTTTACAGCTGAAGCTAACATCAATTCACTACCCTAGTACTTTGTTTGTGATAATATGCAAACCATAACGCTAAATATGCTTATTTCAAAGCTGATTGTCACCAAAAACCATACAGTCACTGCCAAAAAAACGTTATTCATTGGGCAAGTTCATTTTGCGTGTCCCGGGTGAGTGGAGATTTCTCCTTAGGATCAATGGAATGGTCGAAATGAGCAAACCTCGCCGGCCCGGGGCACCGGGCAATGTAAAAAAACAATTTACCTATTCACTTAGTCTTCCTCGCCTAGGTCACGTCTCTCTCACTGTGTGTGTGAATGATGTCATTAGGTCTTAGAGACAGCGCACACTTTTATAAAATAAGAGATTGCTTATTTTATGCCAATGTTGTTGATCAGTACAATAAAATAAGTCCCAAATGGAAAGGAAACAGATTGTTTTTCATCTGTGCACTTTGGCTAATATACTGTCTTTTTTTGCTGTGGTATCATTTTGGTATTGAGTATCGTGATGGTATCGATTATCGTGATACTAAACCTGGTATCGAAGTCAAACTTCTGGTATCGTGACAACACTATTGAATTACTGAATACTGTCTGAATATGAAAGAACTGGAGAGGTGAAAGCAATTTCCCAGGAGGTAGGCTATCTATCATAGGCCTATTTCTTTACACATCAGTGCTGAAAGACGAAAGCGAGGAGACGAGGAAGACACTTTCGACTATTAAGATGCAACTATGGACTTCAGTCTGCCAAACACCCTTGGTCAGCTTATCCGTTATCTGATCCAGAGAGAGAACAGTCTCGGTCTCTATTGGGTTGAGAAACCATGGGAGGCCGTGCTTCTTAGGGCAGTTCAAGTTTAGACATAAAAACAGTGAGGCGTTGGGGCATGCAGTGGAAAGGCGCGGCAGGCAGCACACATTGAAGAGCAACCAAGCAAAGTCAAAAACACATCTCTGATCACCATGACAATAATGTGTTTGGACAGAGCTAGGCCTAATACCATGGAGAATGGTGGGTAAAAACAAAACCTGCCTCTACAACAGCGACTGTCCACACTATACCAATATTCAGATGTTTCAACTCCCAAATGCAGTAGTACAAGGACTGTATTCACCAATAAATTAGGTTATAAGAATGCACTACATGCATCTAATATAAGCCTACACTAGGCCAATTGCAGGTAATCTCAGCCTATTTCTGTACATGTAAGAGTATTTAAATACCTACCAAATCAACCAGTAGTTGTCAACACTGTGCATTGTTTGAGGATTTTGAGTCATCTGCTTAGAATTAAAAATCGTAAATTGCCACGTGATTCTTATGAGAAGAGTGCACTGTACTGAGTACAGAAGGACAGACAAACATCATGGAGACAATTGGGTCTGTTTTACGGGCCAACAACATGAACACACCCAGTTGGGCCTGACTGGAAAGAGGACTGAGTCGACAGACTCTCTCTGCCAGGCTCTGGTACAGCACTGTGCTGATAACTGATTACCCAAGTTGGTGAGCTATAGGATTAGGCTACCTCAGGGATGGACAACTGGCGGCCCCCTTTTTGAAGGCCCTCGGATAAATCCCCCCATCCCACCCCCAAAATAATGTTGTGGGTTTTTTGGGAACTCAGTCAACTTAATATTGCGAGTTAGAATAGTAGAATACACAAGGTGCAATTTCTACAGTTTCTCTCTTGTTATGTCAGTCACTGATAGCTGATATGGGCTAACTGACAACCAATTCCATACGAGTTTGGCTCTTCCTCAAAGGGGTGCTCTTTTCAGCAAGAAAACAAATACCTTCTCTTATCAAAACCCATTCTATATTTGAGATTCTGCACAGATCAATGATTGGCAACTCCAGCCATAAAGAATTACAGACAGTGTGTGGAGGCTTTTGTTCCTGTTCAGCACTAAACACACCGGATTCATTCAATAGTGGTTTAAAATGGATTAGTTGAATCAGAAATGTGTTAGAAATGGTCTGGAACAAACGGCACAAACTGCAGTGGCTCCTGTTGCATACCCCTTATCCTAGACACTTGACAAACCCTGACACTTGGCCATGCCCCACTCAAAGACCTTTCTTGACAACACTCCAATCAGTACCACTCACCGTGGGGACGTATTCCGAGGGGAACTTATTGGTTGTGTAGGAGATCAACAGGCAGGTCTTTCCCACTGCACCGTCACCCACCACCACACACTTTATGGTCTGCATCTGGATGGATGGAGGGAGGGAGACATAAACAGGGTTGAATATACTTATGCGAGTGAAACTTCAGACCAATCGGGGAAGACAAAAAAAATCAGCAAATGAACTGTCTTTTTGGTAGCTGTAGTCATAACTTATAGAAGAGGTGTATCATCTTTGGTTTATCACACTAAGGATGAGAGCGAGAAGATAATACACATCATGAGAGGGTGGGCATGAGAGAGAGCAGACACCACCATTGTATGACCCATTGGCCACAGACCCAACAGTGCGTTTGTGAATAACAAGTGGTAAGAATTCCACGCATCTTGATAGCTCAAGTGCACACAATAGGCTGTCAGACAGTCCAAACAGGGGAGGCTGTGTAATACACCGTTTACAGCACAAGGCCCTGTGACCAGTATGTTGCTGAGCAGTACACATACCTGTTCATTTGGTAAATTAAAGGACAATTGCAAAGGGTTTACACAAAGATGAAGAGGTGAAGCGAGAGGCTCCACTCCCATCAAAATCTGTCCACGCGAGATACAGAGATAAACAGACCAAGTGGGGACTTGTATTCAGGTCTGTAGCTAGGTTTCCATCCAATTGACGACCAATTTTCATGCGAATATCCCAAAATCTGTATAAAAACAATATGCAAATGTTTCCACCTGAGATGAAAAATACCAGATAAATGGGTTTTCATCGCATTTTCAACTCTGATGGTTTTGTCACAACAAATGTTGCGTTATATAGCGAATGTGCCCACTCTGGTCTTGGCACGTGCGTTCTAGCCAACAGCGCGGAGATACAGTGCGGGTAGGCTACCTACACGATTAGATTATTATGGATTATTTCACCATGTCACCAGAATAAGACCCTCAATATTTATTGAAAAGGAGCATCAATCTCATCACCTTGCACTTTCACCACCCTGTGAAGTTCATCATAACTTATTTCATCTGTAGCCTAATAAACTGCATGCTTTCCTGAGTCGTAGTGGGAGGACCACACAACATAGTTTACTTCAATATGATGGTTATTATAGTTGTGCATTAAAGGGTTTCCACCTTGTCTAGCGTTTGTTTTGTCGTCATTTGGAAAGTGTACCGACAAATTAGCTGTTTCCATCACGCCGGTCTTGACATGTTTTATCCGACATGTACTTTACACTCATAAAAAGGTTGGATGGAAACCTGGTTTATGAGTGTGTCAGATTTGGGCAAACTAAAATGTTTTATTGCTAATTTGCTAAGTGTGGTTTATTTGATATAGGCCTAATAGAAGTTTCGTAATGCTGTTACGAATGTACTGACATAAGTATACACGTGGAACCTCTGCAACTTTTTTTATATCGGAGTTGTGTCTGTTTACATGCGTATCCGCCCTGCTGTATCAGATGAGTAGTTTGTTTGCCCCCTAACTCAGGTATGTATATTGCATTGCCCAGAAACAAGCCATTGTTTACAGATACATGGCTCATTGTGGAAGTTTCTGTAACCTGGCGTCCTTGATCAACCAAATCTACACTATTCGGTTTCACCAAAATAACGTTTCAGTCAACAGAGCCATATCCAAAATCTGTAGGAACAATATTTACGATACGCCGGGTTGAATGGGTCCTTCGCCAACAAATACAAGTTTAAAACACGTTTTTATTCAGGGTCTCCCATTTTGCGCCTGTGAGCTGCCATTGTAGTTCATTCTAGATCACGCAGTTTCGCGAGAGTAAACTACCACGTAATTTACCACTCCTACAGGCGGAAAATGGGAGACCCTGGATAGAAATGTTTTAAATGCTTATTTGATAGCGAAATACACATTCAACCTGATGAATTGTAAGTATTGTTCCTAGAGAGATTGGATATGCCTCTGTTGACTGGAAATGTTATTTTGGTGAAACCAAATAGTTTCAATTTGGTTGATCAAGGACGCCAGGCTACAGAAGTTTCCGCAACAAGCCATCTGTCTGTAAACAATGGCTCGTTGCAGGACGAAGCAGGTATGTCCACACTCTTGTATCCTCTTTTCATTATTATAAACAGGGTTGTTCGAGCCCTGAATGCTGATTGGCTGAAAGCCGTGGTATATCAGAGCATATACCACAAGTATGACAAAACAATTATTTTTACAGCTCTAATTATGTTGGTAACCAGTTTATAATAGCAATAAGGCACCTCGGGGGTTTGCTTAAATATATCACCGTTTTTGAAATGCCATTTCTAATCAATGGTTCACCCCAGAGATTTGTGTACCTATGTAACGTTTGAAACCACGCGACCAGCATGTTGTTAAAATGTGTAGGCTTAAAATGAGTGGGTGTGTCAGTTCTGGAACCATAACCACGGAAATAGGGGTTTGGTCTGTCGGAGCCCTGTTGCGACAACGACTCCCATTGTTAAAGGCACTACATGGTCAATATGTTTTCGCAGAAATCAGAGCAAACATACTTTTTGCGCGTCGTGGAGCAGCGCAGAGCGGTTGTCAAGGAAGTGAGTTTGTATTTATACAGGACCTAAACGCGGAGCTATACCAAGCCCTCCGCATTGTTACAAAATTTGAGAGGCCAAGGCGATGCGGTACAGAGCTCAATTTGGCCTCTGCGTGCCTCCAGAGGACCCGCCATTGCGTCACACCATCCATACAGCTCCTCAGACTACATTCTCGGATCAAGCATAAATTGGCTCTTAGAGCAGAGAAGACCAACTCGTCATTAGTGGTCCTCTGTAGTTCAGCTGGTAGAGCACGGCGCTTGTAACGCCAGGGTAGTGGGTTCGATCCCCGGGACCACCCATACACAAATGAAATGTATGCACGCATGACTGTGTCGCTTTGGATAAAAGCGTCTGCTAAATGGCATATTATTATATTACATAGAGTATCTCTTGTTTACATCAATGAGGGTCTTATAATTTTTAACGGTTCTGGGCTGGGCTAGGAGTAAGACAGAAGTAATTAACAACAATACTAATTCTAAATGCTGTCCAATAAAAACAGACAAAACATTCTGCCTTGCAGAGGTCCTGAGACCCGTTCCCAAAAAATATGGCATCGTTTCAGACTGTGAATAACGCTAACTATTAGAGGAGGATTGCAGGCAAGCAAACGCTGTGGGAAGTAGGCTAGGCAACCTCTGACTTTAAATAAGCACATTTTTTCCTACGAATTGTTATTCACTATACCATAACAGGCATGAATAATATGGGCACAATTATAGCTAGCTTACTAACCAGCTAACGTTAGATAGTTATTGTTAGCACTTTCAAACCTTGCTAATTGCTACATTGTTGCTTACTAGCTAGCTAGCGTCACTTCCGCATACAAAGTTCGAGGTAAGGTGAAGGTAGCAAGCTAACTAGCAAATAAAAAAAGCAAAACACTCATGGAAAGTTTTTAATCATACCAAATCTCAACTAGAGCTTGCCAAACCGACTAAACAGAGCGTTTTATATCTGGCTACCTATCATAGCTCGCTAGGCTAACGTTAGCTTGCTAGTTAGCTAGCTAAATCTCAGAAAAGGCCTGTAAAACCATTTCGCCTCAATCATTTTCAGTGCCATGTCATTTAAAAAAACATAACGAAGCAAACTTAACAAAAAAAATGTTATTTTCCCAATCTGCTATGTAGACACTTTCAGCACGTAACGTTAACTAGTTAAAAACAAACAAAAGCTAGCTAACGTTCTTAGCAGCTGGTTAGCTAGCTGTCAACTGCTAATGCGGTTCTTTTAAAAATAAATACATACACTAAGTTGTTCCAAATATAAAAGTTAATTTGTACTCTTTCTACATAACATACATTTCACGATTTATCTTATACAAATCAGACGTAGATTGCAAAAGTTTACCTACCTTATCAATCCACCACAGGCGTTGTCACATCTGGGATTCGCTCGCGAGAGCTCACTGTAAAGAAGGCGTTTCATACAACCCAGCCCCTAAGATTCTTGAGGTTCATCCATAAGTGGCTCATCAAATGGCATTTAGTGAGTATATCTTCTACCTTTTTATCTACCCTCCCGCTTAGTTATATAAGAAAATCTAGAGAGCAAAAGAGAGACATCCTCCATAGAGACTACATACATTGTCCTTGGTAAGTGGTGAGACAACCTTGAATAGCTTTTATTAGGGCAGGCAGGTGATCTTCAGTGGAGAGGGGTTGACATTGGTAAAACGTTTTTCACTAAAAATAATTAATAAATCTGCAGTATTGCTTTACTGATCAGTGCACATTGAGAGTCCGTACATGTTCAGAGCAAGCCCGGAACTGCCTAGCGGTGAGTCATGCCACAGGAGATATGAGTTAGGTGAGGTGAGTACTACTGAATGCTATTCTAGCAGGAGTGAGTAACACATTATTTATTTTTTCTTCTAACAAGTGGGCTACTTTGTGATTGTAGTGAATTAGGGGAAGGATCGCTTGCCTGGCTACGCAGACTCCTTGCTCTGGCCAAACGCTAGACCACGCCCACAGAAGTAGTCTTGATCGGAGTACCTCCCAAAGAGATAGATAGAGGACTCATCTTTGTATCTGTGACATTAAAGCGTCTGTGACAGCATGGGCAGCAGCCGTTGAGTCTATCTCCATTTTAAAGTAGTCAATTTTCTTCTTAACGATTGGCCCATGATGACCCGATTGGACATGACTCCAACTGGGTCATCAGGATGGATCAGCCAATGAAGCTAGAAGTCCCACTCAGTTGACTACATTAAAATGGTGGAATCCCTCAATGGCACTGCTCTTGCTAAAACTGCTTTTTGGCTAGTAGAGGCCTCTATCATTCTCTATGGTACTCCCCTACACTTCACCAGAGTGGAAGAGGTGAAGGGATAAATGGGCCCAAAATCTGTCTTCTGTTGATCTTGTCCAGCAGGTGGCTCTTTTATTTTTTCACTCACCAAGCAATGAGTTTTTGTATGTGGGTCAATTTGGTCAACAACATTTTTTATGTCATAAACCCCTCCTATTTCTACAATTTATCTTATTAAAGGTGCATTATGCAGAAATCGCTCCGCCATTTCCT